CCCGCCCCCCCACAGGCCTTCCCCACACTATCGTCTGTGTCCATGGGCTATGCACATATGCATGTAAATTCTTTGCTTAATCTCTCCCCACCCACCATAGAAGCATGGAACAGACTGGCATGATAATTCTTTATGACTCATTTTTGCAGTTAGCTGAATTATTCTTGAAAGCAATACTTGATTGTGTCTAATTCCCCAGCAGTGCTCATTAAAAGCTCTTCAAAAATGCTTCAAGTAAAAAGCTAATAGATAATTCTTTTCTTCTCTTTTTAGAACAGAACATTTCCAGCAAGGAACAAAGTCATCATGATCTTCTTGCCTGGTTAATATCCACGGATATTTTAAAACATAGAAAACAAAATTAGCAATACTTGTATAAGCTTGGAAAACTGTTGAACTGAATTTTATTCTATTTGCTTGTCCTTCCATACTTCGGATCCATTTCTTTGCTTTTCCAGATCACATACAGTGAGCATAATTAACCAATTTCTTAATGATTTTTCCCCCATCAATACCAGTCCTTTACTGTTCTACAATGCAGGGGTGCTTCTAGGCCTTCTGAGATGTGTGAGGCTCTTCACTCCTTTTCTGAATGGCCTTAGGCACTGGATTTGGGTTTTGTGACTTGTCTCTGATTTCATTATTTACTGTCAGCTCCTGTCTGACAGTTCAGTTGACATGAGAGCACACTTTTTCCCTGACCCCTCACATCCAATATGGTAATTCTAATGTGATGAGAGTTATGACATAGAATATCAAATGCGTGTTAAATATAGTCTGAAGGAAGGCTTCAGTGACTTCCTCAGTCTATATGGTATATTAGAGTACGAGAGACCTGGCTTCCACTTACTGCTCGGCCCCTAATTCCCCTATAGATGTAACTTCAGCCTCATCTGCATCATCAGGAAGTATACAGGCTTTATTTGACATCCCCTCCTGTTTTAAGATTCTTGAAATTATCTTTAAAAGAGACTGTAAAATCCATTTTAGCTGGTCAAGTGAAAGTTTGATTTCTTTTTTGATTCTCCAAGAAGCAAAAATTCCCAAAAAATCAAGATGAGAAAATAGCTGTTTAGAGTGGGTAAAATGTGAGAACATGGTTATTTATAAAAGAAATAGTTAGGCATTTGTATGTTGATTATTTTATAAACATAGAATTCCTTTTACACTCATAAACATATAAGGTACAGTGGATATTAGATAGGTAAATATGTATATATAGAGAAATAAATATAAAATACAGAGGCAAACATGCAAATAAATCTTTTGACAGCTTTGAAATTTTAAATCATTCAAAGTATAGTATTTAAAACAGAAATCTCAATTTTTCTACTAGAGAAATACACATCTACTTTTTTAAAACTTTTTGATTAAGCGTAGATATATTTCAGACAACTCTTTAAGACTAGGTCAGCAGGGGTTCCAGACGCTCCTTTGGAAAAACAAAATGGTTTCAAAGATAATGATCTATAATAATAGAATTATCAATTGTACAACGACTACCTAAGGAAATGAGCAGATGAGATTACAATATGCAAATTCAAGAAATACCCAATCAAGCAGTCTGGCTCCTTTGGGTTAGAAAAATAATAAAACCCCAATGGGGAGGAAAGGTGATTGGAGATAAAGACTTAGTTGAGCTAGTGATCTGCTTAGGGACAAGGGATAAAGTAAAATTTGCTGCTCTTCTTGAAACATGGGGGCTGTAAACGACCCTCTGCAAGGGACTCCAAGTAGCAAGGCAGCCCAGGGAAACAAAGCCCCCAAATGAATAATGGTCCCTGAGACCAAACCAAAGACATACTAGATGCATAGTAATTCTAATTATAGAATCTAAAACCATCTCATAAACGTATTTCATAAGAAGGTAAACATCTAGGTTATAAAATGTTGAAATTGTACATTTGACATCACAGAAGAAATTGACAATTCCCAGGGGAATACCCATTTTTCAAGCCACATGGCTTGGAGGAAAAATGGAACAAAATGAACTTGAAAAGTAATGGGTGAAGGGAAGTGGAGAGGCCCGGAGGATTAATGAAAACATGTTGAATGGTCAGAGAGAAACTGGGGTTCAGAGAAAAATTGTACTGAGGAGGTGCCCTTGCCTCCCAAAAATGTTCCTCTTGGAGTGACCAGTCCAAAGGATATGGAGAGCATTTCTTTTCTTTTAGTTTGCTTTTTCTCTGCAGCTGACACTTTCTGAAATGCCTATAACAAGTGTGAACTATTCTTGGGGTAATCATTCTTGCTGTCCTTCTGAAATAAAAAGCATACTGAAGTATCATACCAATAAAATCAGATCAATATTCATACCCATTCTTTCAATTAAAATTTCAAGTTAGAAGCTTTTTATGATATTTTTAAAAATCTCATACCAAATATATTCTTTGCCTCTCTTACACATCCTGGAAAACTAAAAAGAATGGTATTTGATAGATGTTTTAATTTCTGGACCAATATGGTGAATAGACAATGTGTAATTTGAAAATAAATTATGTTACTAATAGATACATAATTAATCATTTTATAAAATGTGGTGAAAAACCCAGTTGCCCCTAAAAACTTTCTTTTGTTCTGAAAGCTTTCTCAATTTTACATCTAAAAGGAAGTCACAATCTTACAGCTTAAAACAATTCTGAGACCAGAGTTCATTGAAATAACCTCAAAACATATGAACAAATTAGTTCTGACCCTGCTGATGCATGTTTGATTTCCTAGATATGATCACTAATCTCCTCAAATTAATAGGGGAGATAGGAATTTTACATCATTATAATAGATTTTATCATAGTTTATTTCAGAAAAAATATATACCTATTTATACTATTTTTAAATACCATTTATGTTTTTATATGTGCAATCAACAAATATTGCTGGTAAGTTCTATTATTACATTTAGGTCCACAGAACTTTTTAAATTGAACCTATAATAAGATATCAATTCAATGAAAGCTAAATTCTGTAATTTAAATTCAGTGACTTTTCCAGTCTTGAGAGAGCTTTGTGGGAAGGGTCATGTGGGAAGAAATGATCAGGATTGGATGACAACTTTACTGATGTGAAATGCAGGGCTTAAGGACCTGCCATATGAAGAGTTATGGCATCTATATTTCTGAAGTTCATTGGTGAGTGAGGAATAATGAATTAAGTCTTATTGGGTTGTGTGGTCAACACTGGGGAATAACACTTAAAAGTGTGGTCTGGTCTATAGTAAGTATCCAAATAAATAATTATTGAATGAATGAACCTATAAACTCAGAACTTAATTGTACCTTAGGTTTGCCCTGAGACATTATTTCGATTCTAACCCATAGAAAACTTAGGATTCATGATTTAATAAAAATTCCTAATATGTCTTTGCTGTGAAAGATACAAATACATTAACATATAGTTCTGAAAATCTGCTTTAGGTTAGTCCAATACAAAGTTAAAATAGGTGTGGTTGTCAATACACTTGAGATATCCCCCTATACTTAAGGAACTATTTTGGAGAGTATAATGGAAAATTATGTGTGTTCTCTCTCTCTCTCTCATTTATTTGCTTATATAAACATGAACATGTGATTTTGCTTCCCTGAGTCTCTTTGTTTTATCTGTAAATGTAGATAATGACACCTGCTTTCCTCACTGAAGTGATGGGCAATCAAATAAGCTAATATATGTGAAAGAATTCTGTAAACTATAAAATGTAATCTAAAAGTAAGGTGTTATTGGCAAAGAAGCTTGTAGAACTAGGTCCCTGTAAAAGGGTCATGATGCTTCAAACCAGGTTGTAGATAAAATCTTAGATCAAATGCATGAGGAAGTAGCTAGGCTTTTAATTTAATTTGGACCTTAATTTTATTACTGGGATAAATGAATTGCATAATAGTAATAGGTATATGAAGAAAACCCCTTTATAACTAGTCTTACTCACCATTAAAATCCAGCTACAATTAGATGGATCAATATAATAGATAAATAGAGACATTGGAAGACAAATACAGAGTAGTCACCATGAAGCCATCGGCAATACTACAATCAGTTGCCATAGAAATGATATTTGACACCAAAAAGCTAGAAGGTTATAATCTCAGAATGAAGAGTAGTCCTTCAAAGACAAGACAAAGTTGGTGACCTTACACCAACAATGATGAATGGATGGAAAGAGATCACTCAGTGCGCATCCTTATTTTTCTCATAACATTAAGAATCAAGTAAAGCCTCATTAAGGCCACCAGAGTTCCTTGCACTGTCATTTTAAAACCACTGGAAGATGAACAATAGGCTGCTTCCAAACTTGAGGTTTGGGGGTTCTGTTGCTCTGCTCGTCATATTTTACCAATAAATCACAGCAGAAACTGCACTTCCGCACTTGCCCTCATTTTTGTCAGTAGAGAAACCATATCTTCCCCTCTGCAGCACGTTGTAATCTTGTCCTTGCTAATCAGAAAGCTTTCATTCCACACCAAAGCTCTTTTCTTAAGGAGGAAAAAAGACCTATCCCACTATTTTTAAGACAAACATTCAGTAAAAGTAGGACATCTAGACCCTGGGCCACCAGAAAGATGAACAAGTGAGTCCTACAGAAATTAAGCCTGAAACATCGCTGTAGGCAAAAATGACAGGAATGAAGCTATCCTACTTTGGCCACATCATGAGAGGACAGGGTTCTTTGGAAAAGACAATAATGCTGGGGGGGAAAAGAAGGCAGCAGGAAAAGAGAAAGACCAAGTATGAGATGGGTTTACTCCACAAAAGAAGCCACAGGCATGAGTTTACGGAGCTGAGCAGTGCTGTTGAGGGCAGGGTATTGTAGAAATCACTCATTCATAGAGTCACCAGGAGCCACAGCCAAGTCAACGACATATAACAAGGACATTTGGTTATTTTGGTGGAAAAATGTCTTCATTGTTCTTTAAAACATAGCATTACGGGAATATATGTATTTAAACAAAGAATATTCATAGGATTTTTTAAAAATTTAACTTAGCCCGGCCACTGTTGCTCAGTGGTTGAGCGTTGACCCATGAACCAGCAAGAGTTCACCAGTTCAATTCCCAGTCAGGGCACATGCCCAGGTTTTGGGATCAATCCCCAGTAGGGGGCATGCAGTAGACAGCAGATTGATGTCTCCCTCATCAATGTTTCTCTCTCTCTCTTCCTCTCTCTCTAAAATAAAAATTTAAAATATATTTACAAAATAAAATGAATAAAATTTTAACTTATTTTATACCACCAACCCATCTACAAATACGTGAAAGTCACTGACTAACCTCTATGTTACCTTTACTTATACTTAGGACATAAAATATACCAGTGAAGAAAAGGGTGGTTAATTTCATCAGTTTTTAAATATACTGTTAAAATAACCTATCAGCTTTTAAAAATCTAGGTATAATTTCCACACACTAAAATACATACATTTTAAAGTGTTCAATTTGATGAAGTTTGACATGGTATATATCCACATAACAACGACCCAGAGCAAGACATAGAACAATTTATCAGTCTAGAGCCTCATCTAGTTTCCAGTCACCCCACAATTCTTGCCAGAGATAACTATTTTTTATTTATAATGCCAACTAATGGATTAGTTGTTTTCCTATTTATTTAAATGAAAGCACACAATATGTATTTTATATTGGGTTGTTTCCTCTCTGCATAATGTTTTTGAAATTTATCCACATCATTGGAGGTTTCAGAAGTTCATTACAGTTATTGTTTATAAAATAATTTATAAAAAAATATATCTACAATATTCCCTTTGATGGAGAAAATATAAAGAACTCTTATAAATAAATAACAAAAAGACAAATGACTCAAACGATTGTTATTATGAAGACTATTGATATGAAATTGTTGTGAACATTTTTTTTATTTTAACATATATTTTTATTCCTCTTGGGTAACTCTTAAGGAATAGACTGGCTAGATCACAGGGTAGATGCGTATAAGTTTTAAAGAACCTTCCAGACAGTTCTACAAAGTGGTTGTACCGTTTTATACATCCACCAATAAGTTAGAATTCCATTTGCTCTACAACACATAGTATTGTCTGTCTTTGTACTTTTAACTATTCTAGTGGGTGTGAAATGGTATTTTACTGTGATTTTAATCTGCATTTCCCTGTGTCTAATGGTGGTAAGCACTTTTTCATGTACCTGATGACCAACTGTATATCTTCTCTTGTGAGGTCTCCAAGTCATCTGTCATTTTTTTAGCAGGTTGTCTTTTTGTAATTGATTTGTAGGAGTTGTTTGTATTTTCAAGATTCAAGATCTTCATCAGATATACAATTTGAGATTAGCTTTTCCCAAAGATGGTTTGTCCTTTCATTTTATTACCAGTGTTTTTAGAAAGCATAACTTTTAAAATTTGATAACTTGCAAGATCTGACTGATATCCACCAGGGACTTCTCTAGTCTCAATCTCCAGCTATAGGGCATATTAGTCTAACTGCATTGTTTTGGATAATATCCAGGTAGGCTAAAAAGGAGGGTCAGGGATACTTAGGATTTTTAAAGTCTTTCTGGACTAGGTAAATTTTGTTGTCATTATTTAACCACAAGTCATCCTTCACTGAGTGTTCCATTACCCAGTGACCCTTTGTCCAACTTGTCTGGTTTCATAATCATCAATGTCGCTTACACTGTCATAGGTCTGAAGCTATAAGACCTTTCACTGCTACATATTTTCAAATCAATGAGCAGGAATTCTTATTTAATAAAAAAAAAAAATGATAGAACTTGCAATGCTGCTGACTCAGAAAAGCTCCTTCTGACTTTCTCCAAAAGATTGAGACAGAGATGCTAGACAATAGAAACGTGGCAATGATNCTTATTTAATAAAAAAAAATGATAGAACTTGCAATGCTGCTGACTCAGAAAAGCTCCTTCTGACTTTCTCCAAAAGACTGAGACAGAGATGCTAGACAANCTGACTTTCTCCAAAAGATTGAGACAGAGATGCTAGACAATAGAAACGTGGCAATGATACAGTTTTACCATAAAAAAGCTAAACCAAAGATCAGTCCCAAATCCATCCTGAACCATAGAACTCTCTCTGGGCTCCTAAAACAAAGCCAGGTAGGTATTAGGCACTCAACACTTGAATGAGTGACGTAACCCTACAATTCCATGAGAAAATAAAAGGACAGGAGAAAATAAAACATCAGTCAAATGTGAAACAAGGTGTCTTACTGTCCCCTGCAAGATCGGGCCGCTGTGTTCCACGTGCCTCTCTGTTCTGTGATCAAGGTGTGGCAATAGCCGGAGTGCTGGTGCCACCCGGCCGGGCAGGATTTGTCTTCCACCTCCTGAAAAACAGTTGTCTGTGTTCACATCATAGCAGTCTTTCCAGTCTAGAGTCTGTTCTCAGCAGAAGAGTCCTATGAGTCCCTTAACTTGAATCGTTTTGTCACCAGGAAGGTCAGCCCTAATCCCCATTCTCCACCTTCTTACAGAAAACACTAGTAAAGTTAGCAAAACACTTTTATACCTTTGATATTCTGATAATTAAACAAATGCTTCTTAAATTGTGTTGATATAATTAATGTATTTTCTTTTTCTTAAATTCTAAAATTGTATTGATATAACAAATGCATTTTGTGATTTTGAAAACGTCACTTGGGCCACTTTTCCCTTTTCTCCTTTAAAATGTATAATAAGAGCAGGCAGCCACAGCACACGTTGACAGGGCCACAGTGTTACAGGGCACCCTGCAAGTCAAGGTATTTGGCTGCTCAGCCTGTGTCTCACCTTGGTTTGGGGGCTCCAAGCTCTCCAGGCAATCCCGTTGCACTTATACAGCTTTTGGAGGCTTTCATCGAAATGGAAGAGTCCCTCCAATTCCAGTGTGCAGTTCTTTGGAAATGAGGGCAGATGGCTCTATGGGAAGGAAAGGCAATTGAGATTTGACTTAACGCACGCCGATTGAATTCTTACGCCCTTTAGGTCCCCATGTGTGGAGTAGCGTTTGTGTTGAGTAAACTATCCCTGAGCTTGAAGGCTGTTTTACGACCCAGGAAACAGCTCACTGCAAGGTGAATAGGAAGTGAAAAGATTTTCCTACCTGTCTGGGGAAGTGTGAGTTGGTTGTGGATTCCACCTTATCTGCTTGAGGCCTTTCTGCCACTTTGATTGTCTTTTGTGGCCGACTAATAACGGATACTTTGGTCTTCCTTTTGTGAGTTGGGGAGCTGTCATCCTCCAGGTGCAGGGAAATCATTCCATGATACTGAGGAAATCAATAAACAACAATAAAGACAAAACAGACAGCGAGGTAGCAAACAAAAACATTTGTTGTAAAAATGAGCAATTTGAAAACTGGATTTCAGAACAAATTTCAAACCAGGTGTTTAAGAGAAATTTACATACGACATAAAAACTGGATTCACTAACTATTTTGCACGCATAAATACAAGAAATTTAGCCATTCTCTCAGACTAAGCTTACATTATAGATGATGTCTGTCCCATTTCTATAAACAGAGGATGGATGAACCTGAAATCAACAGAGAACAAAATATGAACAAAATTAGCTGGAATAATAATTAGCAATAGGCTAAAACCTTTCCAGTAACATCTTATTAATGTCTGATTTTTTATAAACATGATTCTCAAGATTTTTCATGTCTAAATCACTGGGATTTTAAAAATCACTGGACCTAATCACAACTTATCAATGTTGATTCATACATTCATAGCCCCAGTCAGGGAGAAAAGACATCCTTATTTTGTCGGTACATCCATAGTGCACACCAGTCCAAGAACACACACACACACATGCACATACACACACTCATGAGTGTGTGCCTGGTTAGACTGCTGTGCTAATAAGGTAAAAGCCATGGTTTCCACACCCAAGCAGATTGCTTAATCTCCTTCTATTCCACGGTAACTGGTCATTCCCTATCTGTCTTGATTTCAAAAGGAACCAAAGCGGAAATCATATGGATGAGTCAGTATATCTATCCCCTTAATTAGTACAGTCAATGAAGATGGATAGCATTATGATATTTGTATACAAAAGGCACTGCATGATTGTGCAAGGAACCATGGCCCCCACTCACTATAAAAATCAAAACAGTTTCTTCTGTGTTTAGGAATATTCATTAATATCTTTTGATTCTTTTAATATGTACTCCATACATCAAATCCCAGGAGGTCCCCATCCTTACTGTTTTGCCATTCCCTTGGGTTCTAAGTTTCCTTCCATAAAGATATGTAGAATCAAAGCCCTGTGGGGTGTCTCCCCTGGTGATTGCTAGCCGGTTGGAAGACGGAAGAGGTCTTCTTTCCAGATGAAAGGAACCAGGAGTGGTGGGGGAGGAAGACCCTGGCGCCAGCGGGTGCCAAATGCCCTTCTTCCACGCGTTGTGCTCGTTTGGGGTGAAGGGAGATGAAGGATGGCACTGTCCTGGAGGCAGGCAAGATGGCAGGTCAGTTCATTCATTTTATACAAACAGATAAGTGATCACATTGACACAGCCCCTGGAGCAGCCTATCATGAAACTTAGACAGATGGTTTTCCCACCAGATGTTGCCTTTTTGCCATTTGCCAAAAACTCCTTCACTCTGAATCAGTTTCCATCCAGGAAAGCTATGCCATTCTGCACATCTACAGGGTGATTGTAAAATCATGGAATTGATTTCCCAAACCACAAATGAAAATCGTCGTGGTTTTAGAATCACACTTATACCCCAGCAGCCTCACTGCTGTCCCTATTACAGCGCTCTTCAACACGTCAGGTTCAGTCACTGCTCAAGTACCATCCTACAGCGTGGTCCTCCTTTCCCCGGTCTCCTAGAGGTAGACACTGGAATTGCTTGAAGATATCAGTGAAATCAAGCAAGAATTACAAAAATTAGCATTCAACTGCTAGAGAGCAAAGATCCAATAAGTCTTAATGGAGCCACTTCTACTGGGAAACATTGCCAATTAGTATGAAAAGAATCTAAGCCCAGCACTCACACCTGGATATTTTATACTTCATGTGTAAAGTGTGTGCTTCATATATTTTATATACTTAATATAGCCAGAAAATTCTACT